AACCAAACTGCAGAAATAATCCAGTTTGACACCACTTTAACTGCCATGGCTCAATGCTATGGAATTCTGGAAATTGGAGTTCGTGACACCAGAGCAGAGCTAGGTCGCAATTGTCCCGGGGGGGGGGGAGTCTCTCCTGAGACAGATAGTGCAAGTGAAACACCAGCAATTGTGTTACTGTACAGGAGGGATTCAAAGCAATGTGTGGTGGCAGCTAAAATAGATTATCTCAAGGGATACCAGTTCTACTCAGCTAGAAGCAGGGAGGGGATCTCGTTATCACAACACACATGCGACCAAGCAAGATCACATTGTGGTCAAGACTGTAAAAGGTATTAATAAGCAAAGGAAGGTTGCAGCAATTTGTTTTTGCCTGAGTCTACTTGGGAAGACAAGATTTCACTTCTTCTCACCTTTCCATATGCTGAGTTAATTGAATGCAAACTACTTTTGTACTTTGAACTCAGTTTGCAGCAATTGAAGTGAGACGAGGATGAGGAAGGAAAGTGGAAGGAGGAAAGAAAAACTGGGACATTTTAAAACAAGTGAAAAAAGTGGAACAGCAGAGGATTAATTGGGACTGTCACTTCCAAATCAGGATATTTGAAGGATATGGAGCCAATCACAAAGAGGCATAAAGAAGTTGCATTTTGAAAACAATATAAAAAGTGGGGATGAAGTTCCTTTACTGGGATAATGCAGAATGTGTGTGTGTGTGCACCAGCAACAAGAAAAAAGGCTGAAGACCTCTAAGTGTATCAGTTCACATCTCCAAGTCATTAGACTATTTGAAAAAGAGAAGAGACTTTAGGTCACTTGAAACTATTTAGCCCTGTCATTGCTGCTCTTTTTTAGACTTATGTACTTCTTACACTGCTGAGTGCTGTTGGATTTTCAAGAAAGGGGTAAGCGTGTGGGCTCATGGCCCACATATAACCCATGCCCAATATTAACACCCCCCCTCCAACAATCCAGCACATCATTTTTAAAAAAAAAAATCCAGAGGCTCATTGTACCTTCCTAGAAGGTATGCATGCACAGCAATTTTGCTAAGTTTCCAACCATAATCTTCTTTAGGTCCTGGGACATTTTTTTCCAAAACACAAAGTGACTTTCCATAAGTTCTGGTTTTGAGAAAGTTCAATCCTGTGCATAAAACAGGTGGGGGGGGCCGAAATGTAACAAAATTCCTCCCTATACCCTTTAGAGGACATTACGGACCTTCTAATGTTTTTTTAAAAAATAAAGGTTCTAGGAAAGGCATAGATTTATCCAGATCATGGGAGTGGGGGGGCCCTCTGAAGTCTAAGGAAAAAGCTATTTGGTCCCTGAATCTCTGGAAGGAGTGAACAATGTATTCCAGTTAATGTACTATTTTGAGATGATTTTTTCCAAGTTTTATAGAGTTCTCTTATTGATCCTAAGGTTTCTTTTCTTTTCTTTTTTGCTTTTGCTTTTTGAATGGAAACAGAGGCTAATGAAAAAAATAACAAACAGCACAACAAGTAATATGATGCTATTTTTCTAGTATGGCAACAGGCTTTGGAAAGCAATCACATCTCAAACTATACTTAGCAATGGGAAAGAAATAAAAAGTTACTTTCCCAACTCTGACTGCATACTCCTTTCCATCGACAACTGCAGAACATGAGAAAGTGTGTGTGTGGGGGGGGGAATTATACTTAACCTTTTAACCAGCTCTCCTCACCCAAAATAAAGATGGTAATGTGAAACATATCTTTAAAATGGTGGCCTAAATTTAATTGCTTGTTCCAGCTAGAGTAGATCTACTGAATCAATTGTTCTATATTAAATTCAGTGCTTATCCAAATCCCATTGATTCAATGAGTTTATTTCAGTTGATACAAACAGTTGGAAATAGGCCATAATGTTTGGCTCCCTTCTCTGAGTGATGTAGATGTTCTGAAAATACCAAACTTAACATGGGATTTACTTCCATTGGGAAGAAGTCACTGAATGTTTATAGTGTCTTGTAAGACTTATGATTTTCAAATTTAGACGTTAGGCATAGGTTGTGAGTAGGTAGGAGAAGAGTTTAATACTCCAACAAGCAGCAAAACATGAGTAATTGTTGCACTCAAGAATGGGATGGTGCCTCAAGAGAGCCAGCCCTGCCATTAGACCAGAGGTAGGCAACCTTTCCCCTTTAAGGGCCGAGGGACTTCAGCTCTCAGAAGCCTCAGCCATGTTGGCCAATAGTCCCATGTTGGCCAATAGCTCCTGGGATTCTGGGAACTGAAGTCCCTCGGCCCTTAAAGGGGAAAGGTTGCCTACCCCTGCATTAGGCAGACTGAGCCAGCTGACTCAGATGGCAGATAGGAACAATGCAGAACAACATGAGATGTAGGAGGGCAGGTTGCTTATGTGTACCAAGTGTCCTGCTGCCTGTCACCCAACAAGCCCTCAGAGGTACAAGGAAAACGATGGTGCATTTGAATTAACATTCAACTGTCCATTTGATCAGCTTCTATATGTAGACTGAATGTGATGTCACCATTTTATCCTTTGCCTCTGGCTTCAAAATACCTCCAGCAACAGCTGTGGAGCAGGGGATAGGCAAAGTGCAGCTATGGGTCCACAGGCAGTCCGCAGTGTTGCTTTTGTAGCCCTTGACTCCTCAAGACTCCCCTTTTTCTCTCTCTAAAAGGAAGTGATTTGACTCTCTTGGAAGACTCAATATAGGCAGGTTGCAGGGCACCCCTGACATATTTGCCATTTATAAACACCAAATGTTCAAAGCCTGAAGTAGATTTCCACCACTTCTAGTCTCAGCTTGTGTATTGGCATTTGGGGCAGTCTGTGGTGGTCCCAGAAAACTGAGCCCTAAACCAACTACAGCAGTTCACCTCTGCTGTAAAGGAAAAGCAGCTATTCCAAGCAGCCTTCCTGTCCTCTGTTTCATTGTGAGGGAGTCTTTAAAATGCAATGAAGAACAATCTACTGCTCTGGAGAGCCCCATTTGTTGTCTTTTGGGGTATTTGCTTTTTGGAGAAACTGTTGTAATACCCCTTCACTCCAGACATAGGAATGCTATAACTAACCACCCCTCCTCTGTACCGCCCAAGAAGGGAATTCACTCCCATAGCCCTGGCTTTCCTTGTCTGCAGGCTAATGTTTCAGACAACTTTGGCTATCACAGATTAGAATTGTGTACACACCGCTTGCTTAAAAATCATATTTAATTGTAATCCTCAAATATATTAAGAAGCACCCTTCTATGGCTATGTACAAGAGTGATTAATTTGCTGCCAAATAACAGGGATTTGTTTCTGTTTTCATTTAAAGGATTGAAGACTTATCCCTTTACTTTTGAAAATTGTTTTTTTTTTCTTTTTAAAGAGATGGATTCAGTGCTGCACACTTTGATCATTTTAAATACACATCATGCCACTGTGTTTAATCAGAAGTTTTGCTGGAATGTTAGCTGTTTCTGAGGATTAGTCCAAAAGATCAAATAGAGTAAA